TATGGGACAGCGGTCTCAGTTCCTTATTTTATTGATAATTTTTTCAGCTCAACATTGAGTAGGATAATGGCAATTTTCCCACATATTTGATTATTCAGATATTCAGAAGTTATCAATATTTATCCGATATATACCTAGTTCAAAGTATGTGGTAGAACGTCCTCTACAGTGGTCTGAATGTGCCTTGTCTGGCTTTGGTGTAATGAATAGTTTGCAGGAATACACATTTGTTTCATTCTATTTTCTGTCCTTCTAAAAGGAAACATATTTTTGAAGTATTTGTTGCTAACCAACAGTTATAGGTATTAGGTTTCCTCAATTATTCAAATCAACTAATAGTCTACTATTCAATTGAGTGGCGTCCAAAACTCGAATATCAACCTCGAATCCATATCAAGTGTTCTCTGGCAAGAAGCAGCCGTTCGCACAAGTGTGACTTATTTCTTTTCAATTCTAGATGATTGAAATCGATCCTTATCACGAAAATTGGTTACAAAGTATTGTGTTGAAAAGGCCTCTGCCTCATCCAGTATACTGTGTGTTACGCAGGGTTGAGATATGATCTTATTGAAAATGTGAAGAATTATTGTGGCAATGCGAAAAGGTGAAATCTGGACTTAAATTGATGAGATCATTGCTAATATGGAGATTAGACACTCTCACAACATTCTCGAATTCAACTGATAGCTTATCTGTTATTCCAAACTCCCCAAGGTCCAGAGGGTCGCTTCTAAGCTCAGAATGAGGGATTCATCCTGACGGTGTGGACAGCCACTGATAATCTGCAAGCTCTGTAGATGGATGCAGTAATTCGGCAGTATCCAAGTTCTTTAGGTGAGTTGAAGTCAGAAAGGATAAATGAAAACATTTCAATGGACACCAATCAAAAATACAGCTACGAGCTGCCGTACAAAAAAATTGTAAACCTGACTCAGGACTACCTTATAACATAAGTTACAACGAAACCTACAACCCTCAAAATGAAGTTCATCTATTTCTCCTGGAATACATAACGTGGCATGGAAACTTACCTCACCCTGGAGGGTTGAAACATCTATACAAAATGGCACTTGCGAACATGTCTCATCACATGAACACTGATTAGACGGCCCCTCATGTGGGTCAGAAAAGAAGACAAAGGTACCTAAAAGACAAAAGATCTGTTGGTTCTTGCAAGAAATGAATTGAATCCAACTAACGTCTCGTTTCGGAAAGGGATGGGCTTGACTCTGAATGTCAAAAATGCGGCGTACATGGCAACCTCTCTCGCAGCTTTTCATCAGCGTCAGGTTGAACACTTAGTTGAACACAACGGAGAACGTATCTTCCTCTACAAACAGCGATCCAGGCATATACCACTTATCCTGGTGACTTCAGTTCAAACGGCCATGAAACATTTGAGAAACAAACAGCCTCAAGAATAGTTACGATCGACAACCACCGCCATTGCCATTCGATCTCCCGAACCACCAAGCGGACCAAGCCAACCAAGCTCAAAGTGATGCGCCAACACCCTTCAGCCTCTTTCCCATTTCTTTTTCACCCTTCGCCGATAAGGCGGGATTTCGAAATTACCAGCAGGGCCGTGAAGGAAAACTACATCGTTGGATGCAACTTCCTCTATGGAGCAGGAATTTCCAACAAGAGAGTGGGAAATGTATGGGAAACTGCACCAAGCGAGATAAAAGAGCTGCAGTGATAGACCTCCTAGAACGAAACAACAAAAACAACAGGTAAGTGTTAACTCCTTTCCGTCTGATCACCTTAGATATGGGACAACTGATATTCAAGCTCTCCACTATTTTATTCTCCTAACAGGTTTCATCCCCCCATACCAGGGTATTGGAAGTAACATTCATCTAATAGAACTAATATATCTACAAGAATAAATGGTTATCTGCAAGACTTCTTTTATTTACATATTTCTATCAATTAATTTGATTTCACACTAGACGTAACCTATTGGCGAGAAGCGTGACAGATAAAACCAGTGCCCATACAATTTGCAAATCACAGAACCAGATGATCGCGCTACTAGGAACCGAATTATATCTAGGCGACTGTATTACACGTTTCTAGAACCCTGCTCACAGGTTGCGCACCCGTTCATACAGGTTATATACCAGATGGAATTCTGAAATGCTACAAGCCGTAGCTAAGGCATTTTAACACTAAGATGATTCAGTTGGAAATGATGAATGTTTGTGATGAAATCGGAGAACAAACGATAGTCACAACATGTGTTTTTGTAAATGTTGAATTTGCAAGTATACCTACAGGATAATTAATGATGAACTGTTGATGAATGATTTTCATTAATCGACTCATGGAATGAACTTGAAATGATCTGAAGTCTGATTGAAATGTCATTCAACATATAACCGTCAAGAAATTTTCAGTGTTATTTCATGCTCCGTCCTTCGAAAAGGAGGAAGAATTTTCCATGGGATTCATTTGGCTGCTATGATAGCGATACGAAATACAGGCTTCAAATTGATCGAACATGTTTGTTGTGGAATTCTTACTAATACTGTGATCTTTATGGGTTCAAGATTTGAATTGTGGAAACATTCATAATCAATTCCTAATCAGAGTTCCTAATTGATATACAGTGGCATTCAGGAGTTCGAAATGTGTTCTGCAGGTACATTCATAATCAATTTCTCATAGCAATTCCTTGGCAATACATTAAATTCAACTCTGTTCTCAGAAAACACCCACCATCAGTTCCAAATTTGAAATCCTGATTGAAACATTGTGGTAATCATTAATTTGAATAATGTTTCACAGAATCGAAAATGAGTTTCCATCCACAATTCTTCGTATACTATATCAATATAATCTGTGTTTCACTGATATATTTGAAATCGATTCCCAATAGAAATTCTTCACGAAAAATTTGAGAATGAACTCTGTTTGGCAGAAACATTTATGATGACATTGTTGATGAAAATTCCTCGATGAATTCTCGTGGCATCCATGGGATCAGAATGTCTTCCGCAGTAACATTCATATTGAAACCTCAATAGCATTCCCATTTGAACTCTGAGAGACTAAACGTCGTTTTCCAGATAAATTTATAGTCAGTTACCGATTGAAATTTCTCATTGAAATACCGTTACAATCATGTATTTGGAATGTGTTTTGCAGATTCATTTATATTGATGTCCTCATAACAATCTTATACAAAATTTATAGATATCAACTCTGTATTCATAATCAGTTCCTAGTCGGAATTCTCTATCAAAACTTGATGACAATTATGAGTTTGAAGTGTGTTTCGATTGCACATTCATGATGGGTTTTCCACGAATTCTATGAGTCTGTGCTTTGCACATACATTTGTTATCAGTTCCTAATAGCAATTCGTTTCGAACTGAATCGAGGCCAGTATTCCTCGTGTTGGAGAGGCAACAGGAGGACATCTGACCCAATCTCAGAAAAGCTCAGCATAATTGCTCAATCTTAAAACAGCTTACTATCTAGATATCACATAATTCAGCTAGGACCACTAAACTCATGGTCCTGTTGAATATATCACAGTCATCTATGATCCACCACACTCATTCATTAGTCCTTAGGGGCTTGGTTAATTTCGTGAAGGCTGGTTTTTTGTGCTCCGAACTCTCTAAGGACTCAATCATTTTTTCGAAATTGCTGAAAAAATCAGTCACTTCTCCATTCGTTATATTAGATACACTTATGTGTATACATTCGAAACCCTCTTCACATATTACGTCGATCAGGTGAGATTTTGATAACGAATTCAGCTATTTATGAGAATTGATGGGACAATCAGTAACTTCCTCACCCAATGAATGAGAGGAACGAATGTGAATAGTTTCGTATTATTCATGACCATTTACGTCGATCTAAATGGTTTTTCATGAGGAATTTAGCAATTTTCCTCATTGGCAACACAATCAGTGACTTCCTGTTCTTGAACACTCTCGACAAATTGCGGATTTCGAAATTGGGTAGGTCACATTCAAAACAAAAAAAATCCTTCACCGTCACCTAGTGGCAATTCGAACCAGAAGCACATTCATTATCTTTGGAAGAATTATTTTTATACCAACTCACATTTGAACTATCATGATTTTGACAAGACGTTGATGAAAAATCATCATTATGTTCAGGTTTTTGATTCTGATCGCTGAATCTATGAGTTTTTTTCTGGAATTCTAGTTCTGAAACGATTTTTAGATTCATTTTCAGCATTAAATTTATCGATACCATCTTGTCCAGAGAGTTCAGTAACCTACAAAGTGAGGTCATCTCCAGTCTTGAGATAGTCAGTTCCTGCTAGCTCGATATAGTATGCCAAGACTTCTGAAAATGTATTGATCTCTTTCAGAGCCTACTGACCAATGAACTGAGGTCGAAGATTATCGTTGAATTATTCATTCATTATGACTTCTGCTGAAGAATGAGAAAGTCTACATGGAGGAGCTTTCATATGATTTATATAAATGGCTACATGTTCATCACGCAGTTATTCTCGCATTTGAATTGTCAATAAGAACAAGTGGCTCGGTATGTCAAATATTCATCTGTTTTTAGTGACCTATATACATTGATGAGTTCCATTTGGAGATATAACTGAGAATAATCCTGATCGTTTCCATTAAGTCGAAATGTTTCGTTTATTGCGATTCTATCGGGACAAGAATTCGATCGATTACTTCAAATTGTTGACATGTCGATTTTATATAGGAATTCTTCGTACGTAGCCATTTTGATAACAAATGTCCACTTATGATATGTCATTGAAAATAGATTCACATCGTCTATGAGTTATGAGAACCCATCTTCCGGATTACATTGAAGAGAACTTCGCCAAGATCAATTCTTGGTTTAAGCTAGAATGATATTAAATTGATTTTCTATGGAAAACATTGGTTTCAAAAAACCACACCTACAATTCGATCGTCATCATTCTCACATCAAGAGCAACCGTCATCACCTCCATCACCTATTCATTTGCGATAAGAATGCACTCACCCCAATACAGCAATATGGTATTTGATAGCGAACTTGAGCTTCTTCGTCCTCTGGTTCGTATCCTTCTCTCTGAAGGCTTCTTGGAAAGTGTATTTCACGTCTCTCACTCTCACTATCAAATGTTGCATAGTTTCTAGTACGAGCCAAGCCAGTAGTCCTGCTAGAATATAAATATAGTGTCCGCCGAATACTTGTCCCACAGCATACAATTGTCTGGCAGGGGTGAAATCGATATCAAAGGGCATCCAAGTGTATGTGAAGAGTCCACAAACTTCGTGTAGGCCATATTGCTCATTCTCAAGCATACAGGTGTCACTTTTGAGAATATTCGATAAGAATAATAACAGGAATATCAGGCATTCCAGATAAATGAAGTGTAATTTTGCAAAAGTATTGAAGCGTTTGTTGTCACTGTCGAAGTCTCTAGGTTTTCCGAATTCTTCAAAATTGCTGAAGAACGAATATAATTTTGCTGACGCTTTTATTCTCATGATGAAGGAAATGATCAGAGCATAAGCTGTTGAGAATGACATCACGTAGGTGAGGTCTAAATCAACGTAGTTGTCTTCTCCACCTGGAATATAATGGAGTATAATATGATTATTCGTCGAATACTCTGAATGTGAGAGACAATGTCTTGCGCTGGTATGTACAGCAAATCGAGAAGCATCATCATTGCACCCACAACATCATTATGGTCGAGTTTGTTCCACAAGATACACAAAATATGAATATATTCTAGATGAGCAACTCAGTTCAGAGGACGAAACCTCTCGATTGAAATATATGCTTACTTGAGTGGAATCACACCAGATACGATGACATTCGGGATTGATCTCCAAATGACATCTTTGATCCAACTATCATTTCATTGTCCAATCAATAATTATGCATTCGGTTGATTCAGCAAGATTGGATACTTCTTGACAAACACTTGCAATTATGAATATATGATATTAGCATGAATCAAGCATGAATGTCGGATACATAAAGGTATTTTGTGATAATGGCAAAGCCAGGATCATAATCGAATGAAGCGGGTGCTCGCTATTGATCGAATAATTCACTAGATCTCGAGGTATATCGCACTCGGCTATCGCAATACCATTGAATGCTCGTGTTGAAAGAGACTTCTACGATCCTGTCTATTATACCCTGTTTGTTGTTTTCGTGTATCTTTCTTGTAGGTTCATACTGTCAAAACAACTTCCAGATTGTCAAAACAAAGGTGTATACAAATTTCCAGATGATTTTCTCTATCACGAGGATGACCCATTTTTTTTTTTTGAATGCCTGGATTATTAGGTTCCAAGTATTAAGTTTGTTTCAGATCTGAATTCACATACAAAATTTGTTGATAGAAAAAACACTCTGATTATCCGATTTTGGATGAATATTGATCTGGTCATAACTTCCGAGCTGCTTTGTTTAATCTATTCATACTCAGTGGGAATATTTCTCTAATATTGCTCAAGGAAACTGAATCAAAATAGAGATAAGAATCTAGGTCCGCTTTGAGGAAAATAAATAACTTACAACTCAAAAAAAAACACTCAGTATAGTGAAATACTGTGAATATGTTGCCATATCAGGAGGAAAACAAAAAATTTTACAGACGTTTCATTATAATTTTTTTTTCAGCTACATTTCGAGTCATATTCATCAAACTCGGGTTTGAAATCCAATGAAAAACAAAAGTTTTCAGAGCTCAACATCATTGAAATCAAATAAGGTGAACTATAAGCTGATCAATCTGTTTCAATGATTCAAATTTTTCATTGGTATTATGTATTGCCTTGTGGTACTCTAGCAAACGATTCGTTTGAAACTAGTCCATTGCAATATCGGAATATCGAAACGTGAAATGTTCTTTCGAAGATATATTCCTTTCGACATGATAATAATTTTATCAAATCAACAAAATATTGAATCGATATCGACAATATTCTTTGATCAACATGCAACATTTCATTATCGAGACGACTTTGATTATATTCTCTTGATGGAATTGATATCATACCATTAATTGAATGAACTAATACTATATTCTTGATTTGAACGAGCTTATCTTCTGAGGAGATTATGTATCTGTTCGATTCAACAATAATTTTCCCATTCCAACGGAAATGATACAAGCATGAATATCTTGTTCATGCAGTGAATCTTTTATTTCTTTCGTGTACAACCCGGTTTGTGAACTGATCTTTCACAGTTCTTGAATTATAAATATTTTTATAAAAATTCTCTCGTCGTAATAAAATCATATTCTGTATCTTGCATTTCGTTCAAAAATAGTAGATTTGTGAAACAGTTAGTTGAATTACCTATGTGTCGTATCACCAATATCATACCGAGAAAGAATGGGAATGCCACTGGATTCTGTGCAGAATTCTTTATTACACGTGAATTTCAGCAAACTATCATTTCTCATGTCTACATTGATATGAAAGGAGTCCAAAATATATGAAATCACCAAATCGCTTCGTCTGTACCTCAGTGATGCAGATGATGATGCAAATTCAGATAAGGTTATTTCGAATTCCACAAAAAAACTAGGACTGGCTAGTGGAAACCGTGAGGCTCTTATTCCATTCACATCTAAAGACAGTTCCAATCAGAATGAGATGGTCTGTGGATACAAACATACCTATCCGCACACATACTATACTCACTTTGTATGGTCTTGATGAGATGTAAAAGACTACCAATCAGAGTCAATGAGCTCAATATTGCGAACAAACAGAATTTGAGATAAAAAGCAACTCCTGGATTCAATTCAGTTCCTTTCGGTGGAAACACTCCATAAAATCTGAATATTCCTAGGGTGAATGGCATACATTTCAACTCTGTTTCTTCGTACATCCTGATCCAGAGTTTTATATTTCCTTTTCAACAAATACACTTACTCTCAATCTGAGTAATATCACGATGTTCTCTTGAAATGCGATCCCTTTGCATAACATATACCAATTGTTTCGAAACATTCAATGTACATACAAATTAGAATCATTTATCTTCCATGTTTGAGTATATATTGAAGCAAATGACGAATGATAGTATGTCATAAGGTATTCATCTGATTCTTAGCCTTTGTATATACATCTGTCAATACGAAGATAACAGAGCTATAATTTGAATATCTAACTTTTGTTAGGTATCTAACAACTCAATCAAGTGTGGAATTTTGCATGTTTCATTTTATCGAGAACTATTTTATGATTTCTCCTTGACATATTATAGGTACTTAGTGTAATGTACAATTCCATTCCAATTCGGTTTGATTCGGAAACAGCCGTATTCAAAAGGAGTTTCTCGTATTATGTTATTCATGAGATGGAAAAAGTATAAATCATAGTTGAAAACTAAACAGAGTGAACAAAAATAGCGTTGGATTAATTCTGTGTTTCACCACTGAGGCAAAAATAGAAATCATATTTTTTTTCAACATGGATTTGAGAATGCTTTCTGCGCTGCAACAAGATTTGGATGATGATGAGACCCAGATGAATGTGAAAATATTCGTGTTGGTTCGTAACACTGAACCGATAATAACATCTTTTCTAGAAAACATGTTTTCACATGAATATTCATCAAATAACTTCCATTATTTCATTTATACTTCTTTTCAGTTTGGATATCCATGAAAACGGTATTCTTGAGTTTTTCAAACCATTCTACTCATTATCCACTTGTTTCAAGTTCGGCATTCTATATCTCTTCATTTTTCCATTCATTTACCACTCACTCCTTTTCAGTTCGGCTATCTATACAAACGTTTTTTATAAGCTTTTCAAACTGATATTTATTACAATAGCTGATGCTGATGCACACGTTGTTTTGCTATATACATTTTCTTCTAGGAAATATTCTTTCAGTTAAATATTCATCAACACGCTTTCATGATTTTTTTTAAACTTCTTCCTAGTTTGGATATCCATGAAATTGTGTTTTATAAGTATTTCAAACCACTGATTTGATTTTCTACTCCCATTTAGTTCGATAATCTATATCGTTTTTTAAACTTCACTATCAATTTTCAACTTCTATTCAGTTCGACCTCGAGTTTGGCTATCTATAAATGAGTGTTTCATCATAGTTTCTCAAACTGCTATTTATCACAAAACTCTTTCACCATATTGGATCCGCCATTTTCCAATTTCAAAGAATGAAATCATAATCTCCGACCCCGAAAACCACCAGATACAGATTTTGAATAAAATCGGATCATAATAACAAAACTCGTCCGCCATATTGGATCCTCCATCTTTCATCTCCTGATTTTGACAAATAATTCATATCTTCGACATATGACACCTTCAGATACTAGTTTTGAATAGAATCTGACCATAATTACAAAACTCTTCCACCATTTTGGATTTTCAAATTTTGACGAACGAACCATTATCTCCGACCCTGAAAACCTTCAGATACCAATTTTAAATATAATTGGATCATAATAACAAAACTTGTCCGCCATTTCGAATTCACTTATTTTGATAGAAAAATCATGAACTCCGACCTCGAAAACCCCCAGATATCAATTTGAATGAAATCTGACCATAAATACAAAACTCTTCCAACAAATTGGATCCGCCATCTTGACTTGCCAGATTTTGACGGGGAATCATAATCTCCGAACCCGAAAACCCCCAAATACTAATTTTGAATAAAATCGGATAACAATACTCGTTCGCCATATGGGATCCGCTATTTTGAATTTTCGATTTAAAAAATAGATTACGACCGATTCACATACCTACCGAATACGCACAAAAATTTCATACGAATCGGTCGAGCCGTTTCGGAGGAGTTCGACCACTAACACAGTGACCGGAATAGGAGAATTCAATATATCAGATGATCTCGTTGGGAGGAAGAAACGCTCGGAGTCATTGTGAGATTAGCAAAATTTGATTGAGCGCACATGCTCGAAGTGGACAAGTAGTGGGACCGAGAATATAGGCGCTCTCTCGCTCCAGCCATCACCGCGTTAGGTCATATCGCCAAACCTAAATAAATGTAACCGACTGTGATGAATGGATGGATCAAGAAGTGAAATATAATGTGTATTGATTATTTAAGGCTCTATCCATAGTTAGAAACTTACCAATGGCGACGAGGTGAATCGGTAGTGATTCAAACATAATAGCATAATACCTAGCGACCTGTGATCTGAGAACACATGCACGTGATGCCTAATGCGAATCAAGATGACGGTTATCATTGGCATTATAGGTCAGATGGCTGAATTCAATCATGCCATGGATGATTGGAATATTCATCAGGAACGTTTTGCGCAGTATAAGTTTTTCGAAACGAAACAGGATGTAGGAGAGCCGTTTAGCATCACGACAGGAACAAAATCTCAAGGACGAACTCATATTTGGAATGAAGATGAAAAAATTGAATGCCAGATCATGTGCAACTTGCGATGTAGAAGGAGTCAGAAAACCATCATCATGAAGTAAACAACATCTCGAAGTTCCCGCCGAAGTTCGACAGAGTGACATTGACGCATGACCAGAACGGTAGGAGCGCACATTCCAGCAAACCACGAACCAAACCACATCCACAAAATATGAATGACAGATCCCCTGAAAGATGGAGGATAAATAACATGAGAAGTAATAGTTGTGATACTTGTGGTGGGTACACTCAGAGGAACTGGATATCAAAAATATCTACCAGTTCCTGGTCGATTGGTGACACAACAGTAATCTTTTCATTCTGTTACTTTTAAAATCGCTTTCCTAAAACATCTTGAATACCATTGGATGAACATTTGCTACCAATCCACTGAATAACCCTTTGGTAAACACACATGGTCGATGTGTCTATTGCGATAGAAAGAAAAATGGACCCACCCGTTTTTATTGTCGCACATGTGGAAAATTTATGTGCTAAAAACACGTCTCATCCACTTGCAGAGATTGTCGATGAGTCACTGGTGAATTGGAATCGTTAACTCCTCATTTTATACTCATTATATGGTGTTTCAGTTCAAATTATAGCTATTGGATTTTTCAAAAATTGTTTGATGTTTAGTTTTTCGTTTTAGTTATGAATAAATATATTTTTATTGCATTTTTGATATTCAACTCCGTACTTAGAGCCATATCCAAAGTCATACTGATGAAATCTTTGGTCACTTTCGATTCATCATGTTGAAACTACCTCAATTCCCCATCGCGGAGTCAGACTCCACAGCGAAAATTTATGAGTAAATCTGTTCTGAGAATTCCGTTAGATATCAATGTCATAATTTTTTTTCAGTATAACTTTACTTACACGATCACACTTAGATCCATTATACAGGGACATGATTTCCTCATTTCCGAACAATTAAGTTGGTCATAGATCTTCGACGAATGCTAGAATATGTACCATCAAAATGTCAGGTTTCATTCAGATATCAGATAACTATAAGTGGATGAGACGAATAACTACGTTACCTCAAGATGGTTGTGCCAGTGAAAAAAACAGGTTGTTCCATGACGATCGTCTAATAAACACAGTTGAGTGGATTAGTTACTGCAACATTTAGATGAGAATAATTCCTATTCGAAAATCTGTGTCATCATGAGAACTAGAACAAGTGGTAGTTATTTGGCAGCAGTGTTTATACAAGTTTGCAAATTGAATATGCTACTATAACTACAAGCCACCTGAAAATTCACTTCATCTATGATAGAAAATGAACACATCAATCCACTATTCTCTGCAGATTTCGTTATAACCCTTATCAGATTTTCATTTTGTGTGAACAATAGGGAAACCTTGCTGAAGTCTGCAGTGGAAATAATTATAAACTTCAACATTCCATTGACATGATATCGCGAATGTGTTTTCAATGTGAGTAAACTCAATAAGTCTGTGTTCCCCAGTTCTGATAACCATGGGTGACAAGGACGTCAATATGGACATAGACTCGAGTGCAAGTGTTCAATATGTGAGTGAATGGACTTATGAAAGTGATCTTGCAGAATATCTTTTGATTAAAGACTCTGTAGTGTAACGAGGGTATAATGGTCAAAGTTCTGATCATTTTGGTCATTTCCAGTGAAGATTAACTCTCGATAATATGACAAAGATCCATGAGTTTTATGTAGTAGACAGAGGTGGTTCTAATATTCCAGGAAGAGATTGTACAAGTTCAATATTGCTTTGGAAATGATCAATTCGGTTTAGACAATCTAACTAGAAATCATGAAGTTGAATGACATAAACAGATGAATTCCTGGAAATCCCTTAAATTCATTCACAGTTGAAGCCTAACGCAACTCCTGTATTCTGTGAACCTCGAAATGTCCCAATGGCCTATCAGGAAGCCGTAGAAGGAGAGCTAAACCGTCTTCAAGCACTACAAGTTATAACACCGATTGGAACAAGCAGCTGATGAATGCCGCTTGTCTCAGTCCTGAAGAATAACAGGAAGATAAGGATTTGTGTTGTTCATAAATCGACAGTCAATGAACATTAGAAAGAAGTAACATATTCCTTACCTGAAATCGAACACATTTTTGCTAAGTAACATCAAGGTGAAGACTCGAGCAAACTTGACTTATCCAATGCATGTAATCAATTTGAATTGAATGAAGAAGCGAGAAAACTATTAGTATGGAAAACTCACAAAGGTCTTTTCAAGGTATACCGCATGATATCTGGAATAAGCTCCGCTTTCGCCTGATTCCAGCGATACATCGGGCAGGTATTCATGGGTATGAAGATGTTAGTTGTTTCTTGAACAATATCCTGTTAACTGAAAAGAATGATGGAAAACATCTTGATACGCTGGACAAGGTTTCCCAGAAGTAACAAGATGCTGAACTGACGGTGAGAAGAGAAAAATGCAAGTTTTTCGA